CTCTATCTAATTTTTTTTTTTTTTTGGTGAGGTGGTAAGTTATATGAGAAATGGCATCTGGAAGAAAAAGGAAAACATCCCCTGTTTGGGAACATTTTGAATTGAGTCTGACTGATGATTATATAATAAGACACTCATGAAATGTTTCTCTGTGAGTCTCTGTCACAGCAGGATCCCGACACACTGCACACAAGAACTCATTCTGAGAAAATCTGGCTTCTGCCATTTTACTAAATTTTAATACAGAGACACAAACACACAACAGCTCAATCACACTTCAGTTTCTCTTTCCCTAAACTCACATGATTCCTGTTTCCTGGTGCTGTGTTTGAGTGACGTGTGTAAAACAGGCGTGTCTGGGAGTCGGTAAAGCTCCTGTCTCAACCTGGCAAAGACTGAGCTTCTTGTCTTCCCTGCCACTCCAACTCTACAGTATGATTACTCCATCCAGCTAGATTCATCAACAATTACCCCATCAACTTCGGTCAGAAATCTTGTGTAATCTTTGATGACCAGCTGACCTTCAAAGACTACATTGCAAAAACCACTCGATTGACTTTGCACTGCACAACATCAGAAAGATCAGGTCCTTCCTATCGGAGCATGCTGCTCAACGTCTTGTCCAGGCCCTTGTCATTTCTAGGCTGGACTACTGCAATGCTCTTCCAGCTGGACTTCCATCATGCCCAATCAAACCTCTACAAATAATTTAAAATGCAGCGGCAAGTTTATGGCATTGATGCTTGCATATAGAACAGCCACAGGCTCAGCACCCGCCTACTTCCACTCACTATCTACATCCCCTCCAGAAGTCTGAGATCCGCTAGTGAGCGACGCCTCGTGGTACCATCACAGAGAGGCTCAAAATCACTTTCCAGAACATTCTCGTTCACCATTCCTGGCTGCTGGAATGATCTTCCCACCCCTATCCGGAATGCTGAATCCCTGACAATTTTCAAGCGACATCTGACAACTCATCTCTTTCATCTTTCAACATTTGACTGCATCCTAAAAAAAAAAAAAACTTTGCTTTCTATTCCCTAAATCCCCCCTGTCGAGTTTGTGCTAATTTGAACAATGCCTGAAACTTTGTACTATGAGCACTTCCTGTGCTTATTTGATTAATTGCTTGTTGTATTCCTCAATTGTAAGTCGCCTTGGATAAAAACGTCTGCTAAATGAATAAATGTAAATGTAAACACACACACACACACACACAAAGTATATATATATATATATACAGTCAAACCAAAAATTATTCAGACACCAGATATAATTTTGATATTTGTTTTACTAGTGGGTGCAGGGCACTACACTCTAAAAAAAAATGGTGCTATATAGCACTAAAAGCGGTTCTTTGGCTCGTAATCATAGGGGAACCACTTTTAGTGCTATTTAGCACTTATTTTTACAGGTGCTATATAGCACCTTTGTCAACAATGGTGCACCAATCATAACTCATCCATGGCTCCCAGCATGCATTGCGACATGAATAAATTATGCAGCTGCATTGTATTGCTTAGTATTTTCTTTTATTCTTACTATTTGCTTT